TTCTTTCATCTCCACCATATCTGCAACTTCACCTTCTTTCCCTGGCTGAACTATCTCTTCCTAGCTATGCAATACCTTCCCATCCTAATCTCATACCCACGCTGTCTTAGAAAATATTTACAACTGTGAGCCATCTTCTGTACTGAGGATCTATGCAGCAGGTGGTTTCAGGGAAGCTGAATTCCCTCTGCCCTGCTTGCTGCCCCCATGAAAAGCAGTGTATGCTCAGGGAATAGAAGTGAGTTTACTATTAGTAATAGTGACCCACATTCAGGATGTTTGTAAAGCTGCTACCAGAACATAACACAAAGCATTCCAAGGTAATTAAAAATGCATTTTACATTCCCTGCTGTTTATAATTATCCATGTATCTGCTGCCTACATTAGCATAGTTAACAAAGAGCTAATACCTCAGACAACATTAGTGCCAGAAGGAACCTTAGTGAACATCTAGCACGATGCTGTTGGTGGTGGTGGTTTGAATAGATACGTTTTTGATGCATTTGCATGTGGTTCTGTCTTATCTTTCCTTAGAGGGTAACCTGAGGTTGAGGTATGTCAAATAATGTATCTATTTGCTCACATTGGGTGGAAACATCCCTGTTATTTCAATTGTCCTCCTTTATCCTGCTTTTAATACAAAATATATAGTGAGGTGAAAAATAAAGAGGTAAGGAAATCAAGACAAAGGAAAATAGTTATATGATAATAAAATGAGCCAGAGATGCCTAACATTGTACAGTTGCTATAATGAACCACATATTTGATTCCGAACTTCCCAGCAAACAAAAAAGAGAGAAATGTGCTATGCATGAGGTAAAGATGTTCCAGGAAAAAAGTTAACTTTTCCTGATTTTTGAGAGGAAGAAAAATTATACTATGTGTCCACATGGAGGAGCCACTAAGTCACTTGTAGATCACACCCTCAACAATAGCCTATTAATACCTAAAATGCCAACTTTATTCATTCCTTCAATAAGCACTTACTGAGTGCCTACTCTGTGCCATGTATGTTTCAGTGCACTGCAGTTATTTTTGATGCTGAAATTATCCTGCCATTGGCTAGTGGGAGCCAGTTGACACCTATATCAAATTGCAGACATTTTTTTTTTTTTCTCATATGACAAGATGTCCCAGGTTCATCTTGTATATTTCCAGTTCCATAAATTGCCCATTTTTCCAAAAAAAAAAAAAAATACCTGATTCCTTTTATTGAAAAGTGGTTTCAAAGACCACAATCTGGGCAGTTGGAATGTTTATTGTTACTGGGTTATAATTACTTTAAAGCCTCAGTTAACAGACTGGGAAATACAAATATTTTAGAAAAAAATTCTGAGTTCATACTGCTATTTTCCATTGAAATTAAAGATTGAATTTATTTATTTCATTTTATATATGTATCTCCTTTCTCTTTCTTTGAACATTTTAGTTCCCAATGACATGAATATAATTCCTTATTTGCTTTATCTAATAAATATTTATATGTAGATATGTGTGTATCCATATATATATATAAAATAGGAACAGTACCCACTTAGTGCAGATTAAGGTTTCTTTGTGGGTATTTTTGTCCTTAGGAAATGTATAATCAAGTTTCTGTTACTTAAAATAATTCTTTCCTAGCCCTGGCCAGTTTGGCTCAGTGGTTGGAGCATCGGCCTGTGGACCAGAGAGTCCCAGATTTGGTTCCCACTAGGGGCATGTACCAAAAAATAAATAAATAAATAAATAAAACAATAATTCTTTCCTATGTAGTTATACCATCAACTTGATATAGTTTGGTTCATTTATTTCAATTTATTTTTAATTGTTAACGATTGGTTTTCTTCTTTTTGATTTAATTTTTTAAGTAAAATATTTACATGGTTTCAGAGTCAAAACTATAGACATTGAGAGGTCTATTTGCTTTTCTGCTTCCTCCCCCTTGCTCTTTTCCTTCTCTAGAGACTTTGTGTTTGGTGGGGGTAGGGGAGCTTTTGGAGGGGCCAATCTTTTTCTCTGTGACTTGGATTCTTTATATTGTGGTCAGACGCCTCACCATTACCCTCTTGGGCACACTGCTCCCCACCCACTTTCCCAGTTACTTAACACGTTTTGAGATCATGCAACTCTCTCTCTCAGTCACTGAGCCATTCACTTCTTCTGCTCCTCATGTGTGAATCTCTACGAATGTGTGCTAACACTGGAGCCGAATGCCTGCCCAGGGGGGAGCCCAGTGTCAGGGTATGTAAAGTCTCTGCACTGGATTTCCACGGACTGAAGAGGAATCTCACACTCAGAGTTCCATGCCAGTGAGTTCAGTCTGCCCAAAGGGACCTTTGAAATGTACTCAGAAATTTATCCCCAGGGGACTTTATGTTCAGATGGACAGCACAGCATCTCACAAGGATGATTTGGACTTAAGATTGTCAGCCTTCTAGGACCCACAGTGTTGCCAGGGTTTCTCAACCTTAGCATTTGGGGATGGATCATTCTTTGTACTTTGGACTATCCTGTGAATAGAAGGATGTTTAGCAGCATCCCTGGCCTCCACCTGCTAGATGTCAGTAGCACCTCCTCTCATTTTGACAACCACAATGTCTCCAGACATTGCCAAATGTCCTCTGGGGGTGAAAATTCACTCTAGTTGAGAACTACTGGTATAGATGGACTATTGTGTGCCACACTCTGGGGAACCCATAGTAAAACTCTGGTCACTAAACATGAAAAACCCACCAGGCCATTTTGGTGTCTTCTTGGGAGAATGCAGTCCAGAGTGTCTGGCCAACATAGGGTGTATGCTGGGGGTACGTTGATTTTGGAATGTAAACTCCTGGATTCAAGTTCTGCCTCTACAGATTTTGAGAAAGTTCTCCACATCTCTGCTCTTAAGTTTTCTTATTTGAAAACAAGGGATCAGTATTGTTTGCCTCACATGACAATGTTGTAGGGAGAACAAAATGAGGTTCTGTACACACACACACACACACACACACACACACACACCCTCTCTGATATATACTTCAATCTGATTTAAGTGTATATAAACATAAATTTGATAATGGTTCAAATATAAGTGTACTTATTTTCCAGTATGATTAAAAGGGAAATACAGGGAAACTATACCTTCAATTCATCATGTCGTACAGGCCCCCTGTGGCTTACAAAATTGCTTTTATGCTAGAAGGAACAATAGAAGATGTCTAACTTTAAATAGAAGAAAAAGAAAGGGAAAAAAAGTCTTTTCAGCAATTTCAACTAGATTAGGGTGCAAATAGTCATGTTTTTATATTTACTTATTAATTTTTCATTCAGTAATCTGAATAGACTGCACAAGAATTTAAATGGCTTGACAGGAGATAGTGGCTGTTGGTTCTCTCGGGATTTCATTGTAATGAACCTGGTAAATAATTCAGGACCATGTGAGAGGCCAACGAATGGGCAGCACCTGGTGCTGTATTGTTCATGCCTATGCACGCAGAACCCAAAGATGGCAGCCCACACCTGTCACTGTTGTTCTGGCTTAAACACCAGTCTTATGTTCTGTGGCAATTGAAATTATAATTGATATTTTTTCCCCTTCCAATTTTTCTCCACAATGAAAGAAAGCTGTGCTAAGCTGTTTAAAAAAACACAAAGCAGAAGTGGTATCATCGTATAAATTTCCACGGGTAAAATTTTAAATTTGTTTTCTGTTATTGAGGGACAGATTGTTATAAAGAATTAAGGACCTGTCTACCTTTTCTGCTGGGGCTAATTTGAGCTTTTCTGCATTTCTGCTTTTGTTCTGCAAGGTAGAGCTTCTCTCTGTCCCTTTTTAAAAAAAATATGTTTTTATTGATTTTTTAGAGCAAGAGGAAGGGGGAGAGAGAGATGGAAACATCAATGTGAGAGAGAAACATCCATTGGCTGCCTCCTGCACACCCCCTACTGGGGATCAAGCCTGCAACCCGGGCATGTGCCCTGACTGGGAACTGAACCAGGACCTCTCAGTCCATGGGACAACGCTCAGTCCACTGAACTATACCAGTGGGGTGCTAGAGCTTCTCTTGATCACAGTATTCCCATTACAAGCATCTTCTGAGAGAAACAACGCCATCCTCTGTCCAGTCGCTCAGTCTTTGGCATTCCTAGGGTCCTCAGTTTCTCTCCCTATTATTTGAGTAGCCTATCCCACTTCTAATAGTCTAACAGTTAAAAAAAGAAAGAAAAAAACAAAGCTATTTCCAAAGGGCTTATGTATCCTCCTGTGACCCCACAGAGTGAACGTTCCTCCAGTCCCCGAGAGAACTAGGGCCAGAGCGATTGCAGACATTGCATACGGAGAGCGTGGGGCCCACAGCCCACCGCCTCCCAGGCTCAGACAGAGCAGGGGATTTCCCAGGAGGGAGGAAAGGGAGATGTGCCTCACATGTCTGCACTAAAGTTTTTACAGTGCTGGACCATAAAAAGGATCTGAAGACAGACTGTGGGCTTTATATCTAATTGTCAGATGTGCTTTGTCTTTGTTTTTAAATTATTGCTTATTAAAGAGGTTTAAAATATATTTAAGTGTATATTCTGTTTTAAACCTTTGTTATATATAATAAAGTATATAACTGTATATAATAAAATATAACTATATAGTTAAACTTTATAAAATATTTTAAACCTCTAGTAAACCATTTACACATACTTATATATACAATTTGTTTGTTAACAGGTTTAACTGCTTTCCTTTCCTTCGAGACCTATGCAAGAGGACTTGGAGCAGGGACTGCCATCTGGTGGCAAGGCAGAATCATCGCTTTGTGGTTACTAAGATGCCCACTCCTGACTCACATGGCATGTACTGGCAACAGGGGACCAGGAGAGCCTGGAGGGTGGCTGGTGAAGGAGCTTAGTGCAATATCCCTTCGCTTCTACCTGAATGGGTTGTTCATCCCATATTTTGAGCCAGGAGCCAGCTCCAAGATGATGCCTCTGAAGAAAAGATCTGAGATGCTCTGTTTTAGTCAGAGATCTGCTGGTTCCCTGCCAGCGGGTAGCCAAGACTGAATAAGCGCACACCAAGAGGGGCATGTGATGACATGGAGCCTGAAATTAACTGCTCTGAATTGTGTGACAGTTTTCCTGGCCAGGAGCTTGATCGGAGACCCATTCATGATCTCTGCAAGACAACAATTGTAAGTAAGCAGCCATGGGGTGTCAGGGCTGCTCAGAAATACACGTTGTTGCGGGGAGAGGGAGGCGGCGGAGGAAAAGCTCATGAAGGACATGTACCTCCAGGCTTTGGGGATGACGGGGCAGCTCACGTTTGGTCTACAGAAAAGCCTTCTTTCCTAACAGCTGCTCTTTATTCTGTCCTCAGACCTCTTCCCAGCACAGCAGTCAGACCACTTCATTATCTCCTGTCCTCTTGGGTATTGTTTGGACTTCTCTCAGCTGTGGACTTCTTCTGATAGTCTTCTTTCTTGGCTTCACAATCCGCTGCAGAAAGAACAGGTAAGTAGCCCCGTGCCTAGTTTCTCATCTCCTGAATCATGAAACCCAGGGTGTAAGTATCATTTTGGCACTCTAAGCTGCCAGCTGGTATCAGTAGATCTTGTCTCCTTCTGTGGCATTAAGCTATGTAAGAAGGTCCCCTCTCAATGGTCCTGGCCTTGCAGGACCCTCTTAAAAAGAGAAAGATCTAGCCCAGCACTGTGCTACCTACTATAAGGATCCCCCGCCCCCCCCCCCCAAAAAGAGCATGAAGAGTCCCTCCTCACAGAGGAGGGTACAGCCCTTCTAAGAAGGTGAGGTGTTCTCTGTAATGGGAAAGAGGGCTTTCAATATTTGTTGAGGAAAATACAGTTTCTGTTTTAAATAAAGCTTTGGTCCAAAAAAAAAAAAAAAAAGAAGAAGAAGATGATGATGAGGTGTTTATATGAAAAACAGAGAACATATAGAGAATTCTTCCAAAGCAACACTAAAGTTTATGACAGCACAGTTGGAATCAGTCTGGGTGAGCTAAGGATTCTGCAAAAATAGTGAAGCCCTACTACCTGGCTGTTCTGCTCAGCAGTGACTGGTGGGAAAGTCACTGGCGCATCAGGGTACGAATCTGTGGCCCCTAGGGCTGGCAAAAGAAACAAATGATGACTTTCTTCTGAAGGGACTTGCGTAATATTTCCTTCACTGCTACTCAGTTCTTCCCTCAGGGGCCTTTCCATCTCTTCCACTCCAGCGCTGTGTACCCTCATCCTGTGCAGCTGCCCCAGGCTGCCTCCAGCCCTCTCGCCCTGCCCCACAGCTGTTTTTTTTCTGGATGGAGCCCACATCAGATTTTAACAACTCCCTCAGAGAAGCCAAGCTCGCCTGGCCCCACTCCAGCCTTACACTTGGGGGTGATCAGGTGTACCGTGCTCCAGTACCTGGTTTTGGCACTCAACTGGGGATCAGTCAGTTGAATTTGTCTAGCAGGCATTTTGGGGTGCCATTGGCCATCTGAGGCATGGAAGAAATAGAATTGTTACGTAGCAATGACTTGATCTGCTGGGTCAACCTCAACGTGGCAGTGTTATGTGGCACTGTGCCCTGAGTATACCCCTAAGGCTGCTGCAGCCACATTCATTCTGGTCCTCAAATACACTAAACCTACTCCCATCACAAGGCCTGACTTACTGCCCCCTGCTCTTTCCACTACCTAACAGTCTTCTCCAGCTCTTTCCACGACTAGTTACTTCTCATCGTATAGGTCTTGGCTAAAACGTCATCTCTTCAGAGAAGCCTTCCCTGATCATCTTACCTAAAGTAGCCTCTCCACCCTGCCCCCACATCTCATTCCATATCCCATCAGTTTTATTTTCTTCATAGCAAGTATCACTCTCTGATATTACCATATTGATTGATTTACCTTTTTATTGTCTATATCCCACACCAGAATATAAAAACTGTGAACACAGGGACCTTGTCTATCCTAACTGCTCCCTACTGTCTCCAACATTTATAACAGACTCTAGAATATAATGGGTGCTTAGTAAATATGTTTTCAGTGATCCTGGGAGGAAGGGGATTTTGGTCCCATTGGCAGCTGCTGCCAAGAAAATGCCTGGGAAAAGGACACATTTCAAGGCTAGAGAACTATGAATTAGTCTTTTTAGCTGCAACACATTTCTATAATGCAAATGAATACATGATTGGCAAATAAGAAAATGATATTGGTTCGTATGCAATTTCTTTCCCCAGAAAAATCAATGGTTTAAAGAATTCAGGGAGCCTTAAGCTAAGAATACTAGGGCACTGCCTTTCCTTACAACAAATAGTGGCTGGTTTAATGGCTTCAAGAACTGGCGTCCTTCCTACAACGTGAAGCTGTCTGGTGAAGCTGTAGTAGTAGATGAAAAAGCAGAAATGACATTTCCCTTGTGTTTAAAAATAATTGATTGTTGAAGAAAGCACAGATCCAGAACGAATTTTGATGGTAGTGTTTTTTATGGGCGGCAGAGATCCTCGAGGACATACATTTTGGAAATTTAAGGCTGTAAAAATCAGCTATGATACTGGGTACAAACGACAGTGGAAATTTACTGAATGCTGGTATTATAAGAGGGATAATTTTTATTTTTATTAATATTCTGGTTACATAGTTAAATATGTTTCAAGTGTTATGGTCCCATACTATTTTTCCCTAAACCATATTCTTTTTAGACAGTTTTGTAGGTTTTGAAATCATTGATATATCCTATTCAAACAGGAACACTTGTAAACAGTGTTGTAGCAGAATAGCTCTGTTTGCTGTCTGCCCTGACTGCAGTGGGAGCGTGACTTGGCATGAAGAATAAAATAGTAAGAGGCCCTCGAAGTAAAAACACATTTTGCAATTAAGTAGCTTACAGGGTCAGATAAGAGGGAAGATAAGATAACCCAGTTTCTTAAATAATAAAATTTGTTCAAAAGATGCAGCATCACAATTCAATGCTTTATTTCATTCCAGTTCTGTGGTCTCTAAATTTGTGATTGCGTGTGTGTACACATGCGCATACACACATGCGTGTGCTGGAACAAAAGAGAATATTATAATAAAATGACATAATATACTAATGTTCAAGTTCAGTTGCAGATATTGCATTTTTATAAAATTTTAAAATAGTCTACAAGAGAAAAATCAGTAAAAATATAGAAGACTTAAATAATACTGTCAACCAACTTAACCTAACTGACAATTATATAATCCTCCACCCAATACCTGTAGAATACATGGAATGTCTACCAAGGTAGATCATATTCTGGGACACGGAAGAATTCTCATTAAATTTAAAAGGATTCAAGTCATATAGAGTATATTCTCTGACTACACTGGAAATAAATTAGAAATCCATAACAGAAAGTTCTCTGGAAAATCCTGACATATTTGGAAACCAGATAGAATGTTTTAAAATAACTCATGGTCAAGGAAAAAAATCAAAAGAGAAATTATAAAGTATTTTCAACTGAATGAAAATGAAAATACATGCCCTGGCCAGTTTGGCTCAGTGGTTAGAGTGTGAGCCCTCAGACCAAAGGGTCGTAGGTTTGATTCCCAGTCAAGGGCATGTGCCTGGGTTGCAGGTTTGATCCCTGGCCCGGGTTGAGGTTGTTCAGGAACCAACCAATCAATGTGTCTCTATCACATCATTGTTTCTCTCTCTTTCTCTCCCTCACTCCCTTCTACTCTGTCTAAACGTCAATGGAAAATTATCCTCAGGTGAGGATTAACAAAAAGAAAATGAAAATACAACATATCAACATTTGTTGGATGCCATTAAAGCTGTACTTGGGCCCTGGCCGGTTTGGCTTAGCGGTTAGAGCGTTGGCCTGAGAACCAGTGAGTCTCAGGTTTGATTCTGGTCAAGGGCATGTACCTCGGTTATGTTCATCCTTGGCCCTGGTCAGGTCATACGGGAGGCAACCAGTTGATGTGGCTCTAGCACATTGATGTTTCTCTCTGTCTCTCTCTCTCCCTCCCTCCCACTCTATCTGATAATAAATAGAAAAATATCCTCAGGGTGAGGAATAAAAAAAATAAAATAGAGCTGTACTTGTTGGTGGAGGTGGAGGTGGAGGTGTGGGGAAAGGGAGAAATTATAGCTCTAAACTTTATATTAGAAAGAAAGAAAGAAAGATCTGTTTACAAAACTGAAATAAAAGTAAATAGTCCCCAAAGGATGCAGAAGAAAGAAAATAATAAAGATTAGAGTAGAATCTGATAAAATAGAAAACAGAAAAACAACCCTGGTCGTTTTGGCTTAGTGGTTAGAATGTCGGCCCAAGGACCAAAGGGTCTCAGGTTCAATGCCTGGCCAAGGGCAAGTACCTGATCGGGGTCGTGCGGGAAGCAACCAGTCAATGATGCGTCTCTCTCACATTGATGTTTCTCTCTCTTCCTCTCCCTCTTTCCCTTCCTCCCTTCCACTCTATCAAAAAAATCAATGGAAAAATATCCTCAGGTGAGGATTAACAACAACAAAAATGGAACAACAGGGAAAAACAGTGAAACCAAAGCTTTTTGAAGATTGATAAAATTGACCAACCTCTAGCTCAAGTGATCAAGAAAAAAGAAAAAATATAATTATGCAAATAAGAAAGGGAGAAGTGATACTATCTAAGATTCTACAGGTATTAGAAGCATAATAAAGTAATGTTAAGAACAACTGTGGTAGGCAGTCTCTAGGACAGTGGTTCTCTACCTTCCTAATGCCAGGACCCTTTAATAAGTTCCTCATGTTGTATGTGGACTTATCTGCATGTGGGCACACTGTCCTGGAGATGGATAGAGGAGCGGTGTCTCGGTTCCTAAGACCATCGGAAATATGTGTTTTCCAATGGTCTTAGGTGACCCCTGTGAAAAGGTCGTTCCCCCAAAGGGGTCATGACCCACAGGTTGAGAACCACTGCTCTAAGATGTTCTTCAAGGACTCCTACCTCTTGATAGTTACACTCTTGTGAAATCCTCTCTCTTTGAGTGTGGGCTGGACTTATTGACTTGCTTATAAAAAAGATGTCACTTTTGGGACAAGGTTACAAAAAGACTATGGCTTTCATCTTGGATCTGTCTCACTCTTTTAGTCACTCACTCTGAGGGAAGCCACCTGCCATGTTGTGAGCTGCCCTTTGGAGAGGCCCACATGGCAAGGAACTGATGTTTCCAGTCTGCAGCCAGCAGGGACCTGCAGCTTACTAACAGCCGTGTCAGTGAGCATGAAAATAGATCTTCTGAGACCTCAGTCATCTTGAAAATAAATCTTCTGAGGCCTGCTAACAGCAATGTGAATGAGTTTAGAAGCTGACTTCCCCCTAGTCAAGCCTTGAAGGACTGCAGCCATAGCTGATTCATTGACTGCATTCCTGTGAAAACGTGCCAGAGGCACCTACCCACCCTGTGCCTGTATTGTTGAGTTTACTCAAACTCCTTTAAAATACTGAAAATAATGAAGCATTTCCTAACTCATTCTGTAAGGACGGCATTACCCTGACATGAAAAC